CAGTGGGACGTCCTGGGACCATATGTCTGTAAAAATGATTTGACAAAACTGCAAGCGCGAAGTCCTGCTCTGCCCAAGGACGAGAAGCGCTAAGGCTATAGGAGATTTTGAATAATTTTGGCATGCTACGGAGACACTTGTCCGGGTGGTCTTAGAGGGCCTGACTCATAATAAAAATGATTACTTATGGCAATCATTATTATGGTTTGCTCAGGTTGCGCTTTAAACTATGGTTGACACAGTAAGAGCCGGTAAAACCATAATTTTGGTTCTCACAACCATGTGAGTTTTGTATCAACCACGTTTTATGGTTCACCCTGAGCCAACCAGATGATATATGTTTGTGGTTGGTAAAGCTAATCATTACATTCTGAGTGCTGAACTTCAATGGGAAATCCTAAAGTGAGCAGGCCCTCCTGGCACAGTTCCTGGAGGATCTCGAGATCTCACAGACCCTGCTGGAAGGTGCCCGGAGGTCCTCGCGCCATTGCAATCCTGTTCAGCAGGCGCGACAAGAGGCCGTGCTTTCCCTGCTGCCGGGCCGGCAAGTGGGCCGGGCGGATCTGCATGGCAATGGAGCGGATTCACTTTCAGGTTCGTATATCGGAATCGATCGCCAAGACCGGCCGCGCGCGAACCGCAGAAGCGCAACACACACAACGGCCGCAGCCACACCTAACATCGATTAACTACACATCGATATCTCGATGCCTCCGCGCCGGCCGGATGCGCGCGGTCCCGACGGCCGTGCGTTTGTCCCTGCAGCAGCCCGGGCCGAGGACGCAAGGTGACGCTCCGCGAGAGAAATAAAAACGTTGTCGGGCGCGTACTGCGGCGTGGCAGGGCGTGGCGGAGCGTGGCGTGGCGGGGGGAGGCGTGGCGCTCATTTATTTCCACTCTTCCATTAGCTTTCCACGCACTCGCGCTCTGGCTATGGACCATTCCGTTCGATTGCCGCGGCGTGGTGCGGCCTACGGGCCTTCGGCGCGGCTACTACTTTTCCCCTCACAGTGCGCTTCTTTTTCCCTCTCTCTAAATAGTTGTTGTTTGTTTTTACCGACTGGGAATGACCATCGGCGGTGTGATGGTGGCAAACAGGCTCACCGCAAAGGTACCAATTCACGCGCGCGAAGAGTGACCGGAAGCTCCGACCCTCCCCCC